ACGCTCTCTGCCCTCCGCCTCCCCTCCTCGGGCAACCCGCCCTCACTCCCGCACGCGCTCGCCTTCCCCTCCCCCACCGTGTCCCCTGCCTCTGGTCCGCTGGCAGGCCCAGCAGCAGCGGCAGCAGCAGCCCGAGTGCCGCCCCTCTCCATCCCCGCCTCTGGAGTCCCTTCCTGGGGGGGTGCAGGGCCGCAGCATGGCCCTGGGGGTGCGGAGATGGGTATGGGAGGCAGGCAGGGCATGGGGGGTATGGGCGCACCTGGTGCAGGGGCTGGGGGGGAAGGAGTGGGCGATGGGGGGTTTGGTGGGGGCATGGGTGGCGGTGCGGGTGGGGGAGGGGGTGGGGTGTTGCCGGTGGCGGGTGTGGCAGGGGGGAAGGAGAGGGGCTCGACTATTAGCGCTTCTGCTGGTGGTAGTGCCGGGAGTGTTGGTGCTGCTGGTGGAGGTGCTGCTGGTGGGGGTGCTGCTGGTATTGGTGCTGGTGCTGCGTCTGCTGTGGCTAGCAGTGTGGCAGCAGGGGGGGCAGTAGCAGGGGGAGGGGAGGTGAAAGGTGCTGGTGGAGGTGGTACTGGGAAGGGAAAGAAAGGCGAGGGGAAGAAGGGCGGAGGGGGAGGGGGCAAAGGAGGTGGAAAGGGAGGGGGCAAGGGAGGGGGGAAGGGAGCAGGTAGGGGAGCGGGTGGGGCAGCAGGGGCAGGCAGGGGAGGGGGAGCAGCGGCAGCAGGGCGTGGGAAGGGGGGAGGGGGTGGAGGGGCAGGGAAGGGGGCAGGGGCAGGTGGAGCGGGTGCAGCAGGCGGGGCAGGGAGAGGGGATGGGGCCATAGGGGCAGTTGGGGCGGGTGGTCAGATGGGCACTTGATTGGGCACTCATCACAGCCGTCTGACAAATCAATACAGAGTTACGAGTGTGCGGATGCACGTGGGAAAAAATTGAGTCGAACTTCTCTCTCGCCTATCACATCCATTCAAAGGGCACAAAACACTCGCCCTGTCGTACTAGATTCGCCCCGTCACACCACATTCCCCCCTTCACACCACATTCGCCCCGTCACACCACATTCGCCCCTTCACACCACATTCGCCCCTTCACACCACATTCGCCCCTTCACCTCACACCACATTCGCCCTATCACAAGAGGGGTTCACACTTCGCCCTGACACAACGAGTCAACCTGTCACAGCAGTGATCCATGCACTGTCACGGCAGAGATTCCCTTCCCACCGCTGGAAATCACGATGTGCTATGTTTCGATTTCAGACGATACAGAAAACACGTGTCTGATAGAACACATGGAAACTAAAAACCATTTCTGACCCATCAGACGGCATAATAAACACATTTCTTGAAAATCAGATGAGTGAAAAAAAATATGTCTTATTTCTCAGAAAAACAGACAAAAATGTCTGATAGTGAGGGCCCTGCTATAGGCGTAGGGAAGAGCATTCAGCAACCTGATTGTTATTACATATTCGAGTGGCACATGTTCAAATACACTTATTAGAGCCTTTTCATCTTGGTTCTTGCGTAAAAAGAAGTTCGGCGCCTAAAATTTCGATAGTTTCTGCCGACAAATGCCCAGAGAGCGCATAAATCCCTAAAGGCGTAGGGAAAAACATTCAACAACCTGATTGTTATTGCATATTCGAGTGGCCCATGTTCAAATACACCTATTAAAGTTTTTTCGGCCTGGTTCTTGCGCCATGAAAAGTTCGGCACCTAAGATTTCGGCCGTTTTTGCCAACAAACGCCCGAAGAGTGCATGAATACCTATAGGCGTAGGGAAAACTCTGAAAGAACGAGGAATGAATGAACTAGGAAACAGTTGGATACAAATGTGAAACCCTAGAAACCTGTACCCCTTAGAGTCTACCCCACTACAGCCTACACAGGCTAAGTCATATATATCTGACACACCCCCATAGGCAAAGTGGGGGAGAACTAGGGGTCACAAGACCAGTCAAGCAAAGCAAAACAAAGGAAGCTCAGGGTGGATCACAACGTCACCACACAGTCCGAGCATAGGTTCAAGGCCACAAGGCCAGTTCACATGCAGGAATATATATAAAGGTAAACAAGCAAGTGCAGGTATAAATAGATCACAGTACAAGCAAGGTCAAGAAGTGAGCAAGTGAGGCCAAGTAGGCACAAGACCTAGCATCGTACAGAAGCGCTGATGATCACAAGGCTGAAGTGCCTTGGTAAAGATATCAGCAGTGTTGGCCCGAGAGGCCACGTAAGCAAGGCGCAGCTCACCACGCTGCTGCAGCTCACGAGCAAGAAAGTAGCGAAGAGCAATGTGCTTCGTTCTGTGCTCCAATCTGTGTCTACGTACAGAACTGGAGGAGAACGAGGCGGCTCTCCCAGGTCGGTCAGCAGGTAGGTGAGCCAGCGTAACTCCTGTGCAGCCATGGCCCCTGCGTAGATCTCGGCCTCACAGCTGGAGCTGAGAATAGAAGACGAGCGGGTAGACCGCCACGAAACAGAGCCGGAACCAAGGCTAAAGGTGTAACCCTGTTACGACCGCTGCGTAGCCTGGTCGTCAGCCCAAGAAGCGTCTGCGTGACCGGTGAGGACCACTGAACGCCGCACTCCAAGCACTAGCCCCATGCCTGACGTACTGCACAAGTAGCGCATCACCCTCTTCACTGCAGCCATGTACTCTGGTCGGTGTCTCCCAGGAGCAACATAGCGTGCCAAGATGCTAAGAGGGTATGCAAGGTCAGGTCGAGTGCAGGTCATCAGGTACATGAGGCAGCCAACAAGCTCTGGGTACGGGCCACTCGGCTCTACGGACTCATCCGAAGGCAGAGCTGAGAGCGAGTGGCGAGTAGACAGAGGAGTGGCATGAGGCGAGGAGTACGTGAAGTCGAAGCGCTAAAGGACCTGCTACACCATGTGTGACTGAGTCAGGGTAATGGTGCGCTGTGCTCTGTCCCAGGTGATCTGCAAGCCAAGGTAGCTGCGCAGTTCACCCAGGTCGGTGCACGTGTGTCTCTTCTGCAGCTCAAACTTCATGTGGGCGAGTCCAGCAGTGTCAGCAGTAGCAAAGACCAAGTCGTCGACGTACACGAGGATGTAGAACGACGGCAAAGAGGTGTCGGTGCGCAGAAACAGCGACGGGTCGGCAGTAGAAGGAGCAAACCCAAGAGCCGCAAGTGTAGTCCTCAGTGTGTCGTGCCACTCACGGGGCGCCTGGCGGAGACCATAGACTGGCCGCCGGAGGCTCCACTGGGTGCCAGGAGGAAACGACCTAGTGAAGCCAGGTGGGCGGCGCAGCCAGATCTCCTCGTGCAGGCTGCCCTGCAAGAAAGCTGTGCTGAAGTCAAGAGAGTGAAGCTCGTAGTCGCGCTGAGCAGTTATGTGCAGCAGTACCCGAAGAGTGGTCATCTTCAGGGTGGGAGAGAAGGTCTGAAAGTAGTCAACTCCCTGCCGCTGATTGAAGCCTCGAGCCACGTAACGCGCCTTGAAGACAGGCGGAGAACCCGGCGGCCGCTTCACCCTGAAAATCCACATGCCACTGACGATGTTCGCCCCAGGTGGGGGAACCTCGTCGACGTAGGTGCCTGTGGACTTCCAGGAAGCCATCTCTGCGTCCATGGCTGACTGCCACTGTGAGGAGTAGGGACCCTCGATCGCCTCAGCGTACGATCGAGGAGTCGGGATGTCTGGTTCATCCGGGTCTCCCTCAGGGGCAATCAGCATGGACACGAGATGAGGCAAAGCAGCAGCAAAACACTGGAACTCCTCCTACCCGTCCTCAAGGACGTCCGTGCTAAGAGCACACTCACCCCCGACGGACGGAGGACAGACAGACTCAGACTCAGCAACAAGACTAGCGGCGTAGTCTAGACAACAGCGCGCAGCAAAGTCGACGAGCTCAGCAACTAGGGTAGACGCAGTAGTGGACTCAAAGGAAGGGTCAGTGACAACAGTAGCCAGGAGACGCGTGACAGTAGGACTGGCAACACGAAGAGAGTCAGACTCCGGGTCAGCAAGAACAGTAAGAGAGGACTCTGGAGGAGACGGTAACGGGACACGCAGAGGAGCAGTGGAAGGACGCAGTGCCATCTGGTGTGTGCCTGGGACCGCAGGAGGACGCGGACGCGGAACACGACTACTAGTGCGAGCAGAACGAACACGCGACGCAGGACGAGACGCAGGCTCACGACGCTCAGCAAGACCTCAAGTAGGACCAGTGTAGGGAGAAGGAGCAGGCAGGGGGGAGGCGGGCTGTAACTGTGACTGCGACTGGACAGGCTGTGGACACTCTAAGGGAGGAGCAGGACCAATAGAAGGCGGGAGACCAAGAACCTGCTCAAGGAGCGGAACAAAGTACGGCCGCGGCCGCTCAGTGCCTCCTGAAACAGCAGGGACAGCACCAGTACCCCCAGCGGCAGCACCAGCGCCAGCAGTACCTCTAGCTCCAGCAGCGCCAACTCCAGCACCCTCAGAAGTACCAACGCCAGCAGCACCTCCATCGCCAACACCCCCAGCAGCTCTAGTACCTCCAGCAGCACCCACAGCACCTACAGCAGGACCAACTCCAGCAGCCCCAGCAGCACCCCCAGTCCCAGCAGCTCCAGTACCGCAAGTACGAGCACCTCCAGGACGAGTGGCTCCAGTACCTCCAGCGCCGACCCCAGGGTCAGCAGCAACAGTAGCACCTCCAGCTCCAGCAGCACGGCTCCAGCGCCGGGCAAACCACTCGCGCAACTCCTGTGGAGAGGGTAGCTCCCGCCGAGACAAAGCACCCGAAGGACCCCCAGACCCAGCACCGCCAGAGGCCACACGAGCAGACCCAGCACCCCCAGGCTCCGCACCCCCAGGCTTAGCACCCCTAGGCTCCGCACCCCCAGGCTCCGCACCCCCGGGCTCAGCACCCCCAGGCTCCGCACCCCCAGGCTCAGCACCCCCAGGCTCAGCACCCCCAGACTCAGCACCCCCAGGCTCAGCACCCCTAGCGGCACCAGAGTCAACAGCTACCTCGACAGGCTCGACTGCGTCTACTTGGGACACACCTGACGGGGCAGGACCCTCGGGGGGGAGAGGGTCTACCGGGGGGGGACCTGGCGCAAAGAAGAGCGGCGGCGGGGGGAGAGGCGCAGTGCGGTAGGGGAAGAGACGGTAGTAAGGAACTGACTCGTCAAAGGTGACGTCCTGGGAGGACAGAACACAGCGCGAGGTGGGGTCCCCCAGAGGGGTCTGCCAGGGAGACCGCAACTGGCCGACTAAGTGGCGTAAGCGTGGTGCGGTCTCGAAAGAAGGAGCGGGAAGCACCCGTGTCAAGGGTGAAGGTGTGGAAGGCCTGAGCGGACGTGGTACTTGAGAGAGCAGACGCACCAGTACCTGGGGCAGAAGACGCACTAGCACCTAGAGCAGCAGCCTCACCAGCACCTAGAGCAGCAGCCTCAATGCCCGGGTCAGGCGGAACACACAGGGAATAGTCACCCTCATCACTAGTAGACACAACATACATGGCAGCAAGAATGACATCATAATCCAGATCAAAGATAGCAACCCCCGACCTAAGCAGCTCGCCCCAGCGAGGGATCTCATTGGCGTCAGAGAACTGGAGACGCCAAGCGTCCGTCAGGCGGCCGAAGCAGCGCTGGGTGGTGTGCGGGCCACCGCACGGTTCACCAGTGCCGTCGCCAGTACGCAGGATGTAGGCACAAGGACCAGCACCCCCACCCCGCTGACGCGCAGCGTACCACTCACGAAGCTGCTGGGGGGGCGGGGTCTCACGAGTGCGCTGCTGCTGCTGGCGCTGACCACCACCGAAGCTGCCCCGCTGCGCAGAGCCACCCCGACCAGCTCCACTTCCGCCGCCGCCACCTCCGCCACCGCCGCCACCGCCTCCTCCTCCGCTCCCACCGCCACCATCGCCGCCGCCTCCGCCTCCACCGCCGCCACCGGAGCCCCCACCCCCGCCACCACTCCCACCGCCACCCCCACTCCCTCCGCCGCCTCCACTGCCACCTCCACCGCCCCCGCCAGCCCCTCCAGCGCCCTTGCCCCCCTTGCCCTTGCCGGTGCGGCGTCTCCCGCTAGGGGTAGACGCAGCGCCGACCGACTCGGTGCCAACGAAGTCGACGGCAGCAGCACAGACAACAGAGGGCAAAAGGGGGGAGGGGGAGCACCCCTCAAAGAAGGGGGCACGAGGGTCACCACGAGAGGCTCCTACAGCGACTATACTCTTCTCAGCTGCCAGGAGGCGCTCCTCGAGGAGGTCAACGGTGAGTGTGGTGGGGCAAACAGAGAGGAAGTGGTCCCTGACCGAGCGAAGGGAGTCAGGGAGCCGGGTGACTATGTAGTAGAGGGTGATGTACATGGGGGGGGGTTCTTGGCGCAGAACTCAGCAGGAAGTGCAGCGCGGTAGCGGGTGTCACTAGTGCGAAGGTGCGTAATGAGGTCAGCGACTGTGGGAAAGGCGGCGAGGTCAGGAAACAGGTACGGCAGCATGAGGCGGCTAAGGGCAGCAGTGGCAGGGGAAGAGTAGCGTGCAACTACAGCATCGTACAAGGTCTTAGCACTCTTGTACTGACTAAAGTGCGCGCGCTCAGTGGACGGTAAGTGACTACGCACAGCAAGATGGGCAGCAGCATCGCGTGTGGCCCACTGTGAGCGAACAGTGCTGTCAGCATCGGCAGCAGGGGCAGCAGAGGCGCCAGACGTGAGATCGAACAGTGAGAGACCGTCCTTCCTATCGCACTGTAGGAAAAGCTGTAGATCATCGACCCAGACCTCAAAGTCAACAGCCCGACCCTCAGCATCAAAGACTAGAACGCTAGGGGTAGCCATGACAGTAGTGGCAGCAGGCTAGGGGCAGTAGTAGCAGGTGTGGCTCGGCAGTGCTCTCACCAGGGCTGGTAGGTAGGGGCCGGCAAGCGGTGGGGCAGGGCCGAGGTGCGTCGGCAGGGACAGAGCCGTGACCGCGGCGGCAGCTCCTGCTGTCAGTGGTGGCGGCAGTCGCGGCTGTCGGCGGCGACGGCTGCTGCTGGTGGCGGCCGCCGCTACTGTCGGCGGCGTCTGGTGCTGTCGGCCGCTGCTGGTGGCGGCCGCATCTGCTGCTGGCGGCGGCTGCTGCTGGTGGCGGAGGAGCCGAGAAGGGGCCGGGAAGGGTGGCGACGGGGCCACGAAGGGCATCGACGGGGCCGAGAAGGGGTCACGAGGGGCCTTGAAGGGCGGCGACGGGGCTGCTAGGGGCGGCGACGGGGCCGCGAAGGGGCCGCGAGGGGCCAAGAAGGGCGGCGATGGGGCCGCTAGGGGCGGCGACAAGGCCGCGAAGGGCGGCGACAGGGCCAAGAAGGGGCAGCGACGGGGCCGCGAAAGGGGCCACGAGGGGCCTCGAAGGGCGGCGACGGGGCCGATAGGGGCGGCGACGGGGCCGCGAAGGGCGGCGACGAGGGCGCTAGGGGCAGCAAGGGGGCCGTGAAGTGCGGCGACGGGGCCGCTAGGGGCGGCGACGGGGCCGCGAAGGGCGGCGACGGGGCCGTAACGGGCGACGACAGGGCCGCGAGAGGCGGAAACGGAGCCGCGAGGGGCAGCGACGGGGCCGCTAGGGGCGGCGACGGGGCCGCGAGGGGCGGCGACGGGCCGCGAAGGGCGGCGACTGGGCCGCTAGGGGTGGCGCGAGGGGCCATGAGAGGGGCCTCTAGAAGGGCGCGACGGGCCGCTAAGGGCAGGGGACGCGACGAGAGGGCGGCCCACGGGGCGCGCCTCGGGCAGGGGCGACTCGCGCTCCGGTCAGAAAAAAATAAATAAATCGATTTTCAGTGGTGGGCCCTAGGAAGCGTTCCCACTAGGGAACCTGCTCTATACCATGTGAAGAAATTAGGAATGAAATGAACTAGCAAGCAGGTGGGTACAAGTGGGAAAACATAAAAAAGTGTTGTACCCCATATTGTCTACCCCACTACAGCCTACACAGACTATAGCATATGAGTTTGACATTCTAGTGGCCCTTGTTCAAATATACCTATTAGAGCCTTTTCAGCCTGGTTCTTGCGCAAAGAAAAGTTCGGCGCCTAAGATTTCGGTCGTTTTTGCCGACAAACGCTCAGAGAGCGCATGAATCCCTATTGTCAGAATGTTGCATTTGTCTAGGCTGCAGTGGGGTACTCTATAGCGAGTACAGCCCAAATTAGGGTTTCCTATATGTGCTTACCTGCCTGCGAGTGCAAAACCCTCTTTCCTGTTCTAACTTTGTGCTACTGTTTCTGACACCTATAGGCATAGGAAAAGCATTCAGCAACCTGATTCTTATTGCATATTGTAGTGGCCCTTGTTCAAATACACCTATTAGAGCCTTTTCGGCCTGGTTTTTGCGCAAAGAAAAGTTCGGCGCCTAAGACTTCGGCCGTTTTTGCGGAGAAACGCTTAGAGAGCGCATGAATCCCTTTTGGCGTAGGAAAAAGCATTTAGCATCCTGATTCTTATTGCATATTCGAATAGCCCATGTTCAAATACACCTATCAGAGCCTTTTCGGCCTGGTTCTTGTGCAAATAAAAGTTCGGTGCCTAAAAATTCGGCCGTTTTTTACGACAAATGCCCACATAGCTTATGAATTCATTTAGGCGTAGGGAAAAGCATTCAGCAACCTGATTCTTATTGCATATTCCAGTGGCCCTTGTTCAAATACACCTATCAGAGCCTTTTCGGCCTGGTTCTTGCGCAAAGAAAAGTTCGGCACCTATGATTTCGGCCGTTTTTGCCAACAAACGCCCAGAGAGCGAATGCATCCCTATATGCGTAGGAAAAAACATTCAGCAACCTGATTCTTATAGCATATTTCAGTAGCTCTTGTTCAAATACACCTATCAGAGCCTTTTTGGCCTGGTTCTTGTGCAAAGAAAAGTTCAGCGCCTAAAAATTCGGCAGTTTTTTCCGACAAATGCCCACAGAGCGCATGAATCCATATATGCGTAGGGAAAAGTGAGAAAAGAGAACGAGAATGGTTGGACTAAGAAAGAGTTGGGTACAAGTACTAACCCTAATTGGGTTGTACCCCTTATGGGCTACCCCACTACAGCCTACACAAATGTATAAGCTATAATGTTCTGACACACCCCCATAGGCAAAGTGGGGGAGAACAAGGGGTCACAAGACCAGTCAAGCAAAGTACAGCAAAGCAAGCTCAGGGTGGATCAAAAAGTCACCACACATTCCGAGCACAAGTTCAAGGCCACAAGGCCAGTTCACATGCAGGATTACATATATATATATATATAAGGCTAGACAAGCAAGAGCAGGTGTATATATATATGCAATAGTACAAACAAGGTCAAGGAGTGAGCAAGTGAGGCAAGGTAGGCACAAGACCCAGTTGAGTACAGAAGCGCTGATAATCACAAGGCGCAAGTGCCTTGGTGAAGATATTAGCAGTGTTGGCCTCAGAGGCCATGTACGCAAGTCGCAACTCACCACGCTGCTGTAGCTCACGAGCAAGGAAGTAGCGAAGAGCAATGTGCTTCGTTATGTGCTCCAGTCTCTGCTCTCGACACAAGGCCAGCATGGCCTTGTTGTCTACGTACAGCACTGGAGGAGAACGAGGCGGCTCTCCAAGGTCAGTCAGCAGGTAGGTGAGCCAGCAAAGCTCCTGTGCAGCCATGGCCCCAGCGTAGATCTCAGCCTCACAACTGGAGCCGAGAACAGAAGACGAGCGGGTAGCCCGCCACGAAACAGAGCCGGAACCAAGGCTGAAGGTGTAACCCTGTGACGACCGCTGCGTAGCCTGGTCGTCAGCCCAAGAAGTGTCTGCGTGCCCAGTGAGGACCACTGGACTCTGCCCTCCAAGCACAAGCCCCATGCCCGGCGTACTGCACAAGTAGCGCAACACCCTCTTCGCTGCAGCCATGTGCTCCGGTCTGTGTCTCCCAGGAGCAACATAGCGTGCAAGAATGCTAAGAGGGTATGCAAGGTCAGGTCGTGTGCAGGTCATCAGGTACATGAGGCAGCCAACAAGCTCTGGGTACGGGCCACTCGACTCTACGGACTCATCCGAAGGCAGAGCTGAGAGCGAGTGGCGACTAGGCAGAGGAGTGGCCTGAGGCGAGGAGTACGTGAAGCCGAAGCGCTGAAGGACCTGGTGCACCATGTGTGACTGAGTCAGGGTAATGGTGCGGCGTGCTCTGTCCCGGGTGATCTGCAAGCCAAGGTAGCTGCGCAGTTCACCCAGGTCTGTGCACGTGTGTCTCTTCTGCAGCTCGGACTTCACGTGGGCGAGTCCAGCAGTGTTAGCTGTGGCAAAGACCAAGTCGTCGACGTACACGAGGATGTAGAACGGCGGCAAAGAAGTGGCGGTGCGCAGAAACAGCGACGGTCGGCAGTAGAAGGAGCAAACCCAAGAGCCGCAAGTGTAGTCCTCAGTGTGTCGTGCCACTCACGGGGCGCCTGGCGGAGACCGTAGACTGGCCGCCGGAGGCTCCACTGGGTGCCAGGGGGAAAAGACCCAGTGAAGCCAAGTGGGCGACGCAGCCAGATCTCCTCGTGCAGGCTACCCTGCAAGAAAGCAGTGCTGAAGTCAAGAGAGTGCAGCTCGTAGTCGCGGTGAGCAGCTATGTGCAGCAGTACCCGAAGAGTGGTCATCTTCGGGGTGGGAGAGAAGGTCTGAAAGTAGTCAACTCCCTGCCGCTGACTGAAGCCACGAGCCACGTAACGCGCCTTGAAGACAGACGGAGAACCCGGCGGCCGCTTCACCCTGAAAATCCACATGCCACTGACGATGTTCGCCCCAGGCGGGGGAACCTCGTCAACGTAGGTGCCTATGGACTTCCAGGAAGCCATCTCTGCGTCCATAGCTGACTGCCACTGAGAGGAGTAGGGACCCTCTATCGCCTCCGCGTAAGAGCGCGGAGTCGGGATGTCAAGTGCATCCGGGTCTCCCTCAGGGGTAAGCAGTACGGACACGAGATGAGGTGAAGCAGCAGCCACACACTGGAACTCCTCCTGCCTGTCCTCAAGGACATCCGTGCCAAGGGCACACTCACCCCCGACGGACGGAGGACAGACAGACTCAGCGACAAGACTAGCAGCATAGTCGAGAAGACAGCGAGCAGCAAAGTCGACGAGCTCAGCAACTAGGGCAGACGCAGCAGTGGACACAAAGGAAGGGTCAGTGACGACAGTAGCAAGGAGACGCGTGACCGTAGGACTGGCAGCACGAAGAGAGTCCGACTCCGGGTCGGCAAGAGCAGGAAGAGAGGACTTAGGAGGAGAAGGCAAAGGGGCACGCAGAGGAGCAGTGGACGGACGCAGAGACATCCGGTGCGTGCCAGGGACAGGAGGAGGATGCTGACGCGAACCATGACCACTAGTGCGAGCAGGACGGGTAGGGGACGCAAGACGAGACGCAGGCTCACGACGCTCAGCAAGACCTCCAGTAGGACCAGAGTAGGGAGAAGGAGCAGGCAATGGGGAGGACCGCTGTAACTATAACTGTGACGGGACAGGCTGTGGACACTCTAAGGGAGGAGGAGGACCAGTAGAAGGCGGGAGACCAAGAACCTGCTGAAGGAGCGGAACGAAGTATGGCCGAGGCGGCGCGGCAACTCCAGACACAGTAGGGACAGCACCAGCACCCCCAGCGGCAGCACCAGCGCCAGGAGCACCTCCAGCTCCAGTACCTCCAGCAGCACCAGTAGCACCCTCAGCAGGACCGCCTCCAGGACCGACAGCAGTAGCCTCAGCGCCAACACCCTCAGCACCTCCAGCTCCAGTCGTACCCGCAGGCCCAGCAGCTCCAGTACTCCCAGTACGAGCACCTATGGGACCTGCGGCACCAGCATCCTCAGGAGCCGAAGAACCTCCAGCTCCAGCAGCACGCCTCCAGCGCCAGGCAAACCACTCACGCAGCTCCTGACGAGAGAGGGGCTCACGTCGAGACGAAGCACCCGGAGAACCTCCAGGCCCAGCACCGCAAGACGCCACACGAGCAGGCCCAACTCCCTGAGGCTCCGCACCCCCAGGCTCAGCACCTCCACGCGTAGCACCCCCAGGCTCAGGACCCCCAGGCGTAGCACCCCCAAGCTCAGCACCCCCAGGCTCAGCACCCCCAGTCGCAGCACCCCCAGGCTCAGCACCCCCACTAGTAGCAGCTGCAGGCTCAGCACCCCCAGGCGTAGCACCCACACGCTCAGCACCCCCAGAGTCAGCACCCCCAAGCTCAGCACCCTCAGCAGCACCAGAGTCACCAGTAACCTCGACAGGCTCGACTGCGTCTACCTGGGACACACCTGAAGGGGCAGGACCCTGAGGGGGGAGGGGGTCTACCGGGGGGGGACCTGGTACAAGAAAGAGCGGTGGCGGGGGGAGGGACGGAGTGCGGTAGGGGAAGAGGCGGTAGTAGGGGACTGACTCGTCAAACGTGACGTCCTGGGAGGACAGAACACGGCGAGAGCTGGGGTGGTAGAACTGCCACCCTGGCGCGTCAGGGGGGAAGCCAAGGAAGACGCAAGGAGCAGCATGAGGGGACAGCTTGTCCGCAGACAAGTCGCGAACAAACGCCCGAGATCCCCAGACACGGAACGCAGACGCATCGCCAACCTTCCCCGTCCACAGCAAAGCTGGGGAGGTCTCCGGCATGGAGACCCTGGGGTGAAGGTTGATCTGATGCGCCGCGTACCGAACCGCAAACGGCCACAGAGAATGGGGGGCAGCCGCATGCATCATGGACGTACGAGCGACATCCATGACCATGCCAATGCGTCGCTCTGCAATCCCATTTTGCTGTGGAGAGTCCGGAAGCGTGAAGGTCTGGCGGATGCCTCGTGCACTACAGTAGGCACGCCGAAGGCCAGAGGAGAACTCTCCGCCTCAGTCAGAGTGCAGACGCAGAACAGGAAAGTCCGAGCCGAAGCTCTGCCTGAGCTGGAGACGAGCTGCGCGGATCCAGTCAATCAACACCTCAGTGACATCACCCTTGTTGCGCAAGGGGAAGACTGTGGTGTAACGCGAGTAGTCGTCAACCACCAGCAGGAATTAGCGCTCGTGACCCTGTCCACGGACGCGGGCCGGGCCCCACACGTCCATGTGAAGCGTCTGCAGCGGGGCCTCTGTCGGAGGAAACTGGGAGGAGTGAGGGGCAGCCCGCTGCCGCCCCTCGACACAGGGGACGCAGGTAGGGCCAGGCCCAGGAGGAAGGGGAGGGAGGGACCGGGGAAGACCAGAGACAAGGACACGGGAGGCCATGCCTCGGAGACGAAGCAGGGAGGGGTGACCAAGGCGGTGGTGCCAGAGGAGAGTCTTGTGAGACAGGAGGCGACACGAGCAGGGGGCAGACTCAGGACCAGACCTGGAAGCTGCAGCAAACACCTGACCCGACGCAGCTACCTGACCAGACGCAGTGACTGGAGGAGACGCAGTGGTCAGTGTGTACAGGCTCGACCCCGGCCGACGTGTAAACGTGGCCAGGTGTCGGCCTGTCCGAGCGTCCGTGCAGTGGGTCACCCGCTGACTCGCAGGAGTGAACTGGTGAACCCCCGCATCGTGTAGGTCAGCACCACTCACCAAGTTCGTAGAGAACGAGGGGAGGTAAAGACCAGACAGGGTGCCAGAGGGGGCCGCCGGACACGAGAGGACAGTGGAGTAGTGAGCAAGGACAGGACCCCCAGAGGGGTCTGCCAGAGACACTGCAACTGGCCGGCCAAGCGGCGTGAGTGTGGTGCGGTCTCGAAAGAAGGAGCGAGACGCCCCCGAGTCAAGGGTGAAGGTGTGGGAGGCCGAAGCCGACGTAGTACCTGAGAGAGCAGACTCACCAGCACCTGAGGGAGCAGACGCACGAGCACCTAGAGTAGCAGCCTCGCTAGCACCTAGAGCAGCAGCCTCACCAGTACCTAGAGCAGCAGTCTCAATGCCCGGGCCGGGCGGGAAACACTGGTAACAGTCACCCTCATCACTAATAGTCACAGCATACATGGCAGCAAGAATAGCATCAAAGTCAAGGTCAAAGACAGCTACTCCCGCCCTAGAAAGCTCGCCCCAGCGGGGGATCTCAGTGGCCTCCGGGAACTAGTGACGCCAAGCGTCCATCAGGAGGCCAAAGCAGCGCTGGGTGGAGTGCGCACCCCCGCACTGCTCACCTGCGCGGTCGCCGGGGCGTAGGACGTAGGTGCACGGACCAGTACCCCCACCCCGCTGGCGTGCAGCGTACCACTCACGGAGCTGCTGAGGGGGGGGGGATGTCACGAGTGCGCTGCTGCTGCTGCCGTTGCTGGCGCTGACCACCACCGGAGCCGACCCTCTGCGCAGCGCCACCCCGACCAGCTCCACCTCCACCGTCACCGCCTCCTCCACCGCCGCCACCTCCTGTCAAAAATCTAGCAAGGCTTAGGAGCCATAGCTAGTGAGGTAGGAAGTTGAGTTGGAGTTGGAGGAGAAATGTCGAGAGAAAAGAGGGGTTCACTATAGGTTCAAGGGTACAAATATGAGAGAACAAGCAAGAAAGGTGCACCACCAAATAGGAAAACGCTATAACTACAGTAACCAATCCTATAGGCAGTTACATATAGAAAATATTAAATTATATTTTCCGACACGCCCCCATAACTGGCTGTAGGAGATGAGTATGCAGTTAGCGCCCTCTGAAGGGGTACATCACGATTGCGCAGGAGGAGAAAAGTGTTTCAATAATACCACTCCTCTGGCTCCCCCACACCCTCACACCCTCCCACCCTTCCCCCCAGCGGCAGCTGCAGTAGTGGGAACGAAAGGAGGAGGCGGGCTGGCGCTGGCTGGTCTCCCACTCCATCCCCTCACCCTCCCCCTCCCCCTCCCCTTCCCCCTCCCCCACACACTGCTGCAGGAGCAGCAGAGGGGGGGAAGAGAGGAGAGGTGGAGGGACGGCTGCTGGGTGGTCTCACACCCGCCACCCCAGTGCCACTCCCCGGGCTCCCCCACACCCTCACACCCTCCCCCCCAGCGGCAGCTGCAGCAGCGGGAACAAAAGGAGGAGGAGAGGGGGGGGGGGGGGGGGGGCGACGCACGGCCTCCCCGTGCGCCAAAGCAGGCGGCAGAGGGGGCGACGCTTGCCCCCCCCTTCCAGGTCGCCCCTCCCTGCACCTGTCGAGGTGACCTGAGGGGGCCACGTGTGGCCCCCGAAGGAGCCGCGACGGGTGACGGGAAAAGGGGGGGGGGGGCGGTGCACGTGCCCCCGGTGTGCCGCGGCTGGCGACGGGGCATGGCCGGGGCGGGGTCGGGGCCGCAAGTGGGCGGGGCCGCAGGTGGCATCGGGGCCGAAGTGGGCGACGGGGCCGCAGGTGGCGGGGCGGCAGGTGACGACGGGGATGGGGCTGCAAGGAGGCGACGTGGCCGGGGCCGCAGTTAGGTGACGAGGCCGGGGCCGCAGGTGGGCGACTGGGCCGGGGCCGTAGTGAGGCGACGGGGCCGGGGCCGCAGGAAGGCGACGGGGCCGGGGCCGCAGGTAGGCGACGGGGCCGTAGGGCCGCAGGTAGGCAACGGGGCCGTAGGGCCGCATGTAGGCGACGGGGCCGTAGGGCCGCAGGTAGGCGACGGGGCCGGGGCCGCAGGAAGGCGACGGGGCCGGGGCCACAGGTAGGCGACGGGGCCGTAGGGCCGCAGGTAGGCGACGGGGCCGTAGGGCCGCAGGAAGGCGACGGGGCCGTAGGGCCGCAGGTAGGCGACGGGGCCGTAGGGCCGCAGGTAGGCAACGGGGCCGCAGGTAGGAGACGGGGCCGTAGGGCCGCAGGTAGGCGACGGGGCCGTTGAAAGGGCGGCGACGGGACCGCGAAAAGTAGGGCAAGGGGCACGTCACGGGGCGTGCCGAACACAGATTAGCAGCGGAAGCTGTAGGGTGGGCCCACAGGTCAGGACCTTGGTAGCTCTGATAGCATGTAAAATATCTAGCAAGGCTTAGGAGCCATAGCTAGTGAGGTAGGAAGTTGAGTTGGAGTTGGAGGAGAAATGTCGAGAGAAAAGAGGGGTTCACTATAGGTTCAAGGGTACAAATATGAGAGAACAAGCAAGAAAGGTGCACCACCAAATAGGAAAATGCTATAACTACAGTAACCAATCCTACAGGCAGTTACATATAGAAAATATTAAATTATATTTTCCGACACCTCCGCCAACTCCGCTCCCACCGCCACCGCCGCCTCCGCCTCCACTGCCGCCACCGACACCTCCACCCCCGCCACCACCCCCACCGCCACCCCCACCCCCTCCACCGCCTCCACCGCCTCCTCCACCGCCCACGCTAGCTCCTCCAGCGCCCCTGCCCCCCTTGCCCTTGCCAGGGCAGCGTCTCCTGCTAGGGGTAGACGCCGCACCGACCGACTCAAGCCCAACGAGGTCAGCCGCAGCAGCAGAGGCAACAGAGGGCAAAAGGGGGGAGGGGGAACACCCCTCAAAGATGGGGGTGCGAGGGTCACCACGAGAGGCTCCTACAGCTACTATGCTCTTCTCTTCTGCTAGGAGGGCCTTCTCGAGGAGGTCAACGGTGAGAGTGGTGGGGCAAACTGAGAGGAAGTGGTCCCTGACTACGCGAAGGGAGTCAGGGAGCCGGGTGACTATGTAGTAGAGGGTGATGTACATGGGGGGGGGGGGTTCTTGGCGCAGAACTCAGCAGGAAGCGCAGCGCGGTAGCGAGTGTCACTAGTGCGGAGGTGCGTAATCAGGTCAGCGACTGTGGGAAAGGCAGCAAGGTCAGGGAAGAGGTACGGTAGCATGAGGCGGCTCAGTGCAGCAGTGGCAGGGGAGGAGTAGCGTGCAACTACAGCCTCGTACAAGGTCTGAGCACTCTTGTACTGACTAAAGTGCGCACGCTCAGAGGTAGGCAGGTGGCGACGCACAGCAAGACGTGCAACAGCATCGCGTGTGGCCCACTGTGAGCGAACAGTGGCGTCGGCATCAGCAGCAGGGGCAGGGGAGGCACCAGAGGTGAGGTCAAAGAGGGAGAGACCGTCTGCCCTATCGCACTGTAGGAAAAGCTGCAGGTCATCTACCCAGACGTCATGTTCAATGGCCCGACCCTCAGCGTCAAAACTGAGGACACTAGGGGTAGCCATGACAGCAGTAGACTAGCAGCACGAACAGTAGGGTAAGGGCAGTGCACTGACAGAGGCGCTGCTCTTACCGGACAGGGCGGCTCGGGCGGCTCGGCGGCTCGGCAATTGGGCGGCTCGGCGACTGGGCGGCTCGGCGGCTCGGCTCGGGCGGCTCGACTGTTCGGCGGCTCGGCTGCTGGGCGGCTCGGCTGCTCGGCGGCTCGGCTGCTGGGCGGCTCGGCGGCTCGGCGGCTCGGCTGCTGCGCGGCTCGGCGGCTCGGCTGTTGGGCAGCTCGGCTGCTCGGCGGCTCGGCTGCTGGGCGGCTCGGCGGCTCGGCGGCTCGGCTGCTGGGCGGCTCGGCGGCTCGGCTGCTCGGCGGCTCGGCTGCTGGGCGGCTCGGCTGCTGGGCGGCTGTGCCGCTAAGGAAGGCGGGGCCGCGAAGGGCGGCGGGGCCGCTGAAGTGGGCGGCGACGGGGCCGCAGAGGAGGCGGCGGGGCCGCTGAAGGAACGGCGTCGAGGCCGCTGCAGGGGTGGCGACGGGGCCGCTGAAGAAGGCGGCGGGGCCGCTGAAAGGGCGGCGACGGGCCGTAAGAGGAGGGCGGCGACGGGGCCGCTGTAAGGGCGGCGACGGGGCCGCTGTAAGGGCGGCGACGGGGTCGCTGTAAGGGCGGCGACGGGCCGTAAGGGGAGGGCAGCGACGGGGCCTCTGCAAGGGCAGCGACGGGGCCGCTGTAAGGGCGGCGACGGGGCCGCAGGTGAAAGGGCGGCGACGGGCCACAGGGGGAGGGCGGCGACGGGCCGTTGAGGGCGGTACGACGGGGCCGCAAAAGGGGCGGCACGACGGGGCCACGAAGGGGCGGCGCGACGCGGCCGCGAAGGGCGGCGTGACGGAACCGCTAAGGGCGGCGCGACGGGCCGCTAAAGGCGACGCGACGGGGCCGCTAGGGAAGGCGCGACCCTAAGCGCGCTTCGGGCAGGGGCGGGACACGCCCCCGGCAGGAAAAAAAAAGTCGGTGGGCCCTAGGAACAGTTCCCACTAGGGAACCTGCTCGATACCATGAGAAAAGAGAACGAGAATGGTTGGACTAAGAAAGAGTTGGGTACAAGTACTAACCCTAATTGGGTTGTACCCCTTATGGGCTACCCCACTACAGCCTACACTAATGTATAAGCTATAATGTTCTGACAAAAAGCATTCAGCAACCTGATTCTTATTGCATATTCCAGTGGCCCTTGTTCAAATACACCTGTTAGAGCCTTTTCGGGCTGGTTCTTGCGCTGAGAAAAGTTCGGCGCCTAAGATTTCGACCGTTTTTGCCGACAAACGATCAGAGAGCGCATGAATCCCTATAGGCGTAGGAAACAGCATTCAGCAACCTGATTCTTATTGCATATTCGAGTAGCCCATGTTCAAATACACCTATCAGAACCTTTTCGGCCTGGTTCTTGTGCAACGAAAAGTTTGGCACCTAAAAATACGGCCCTTTTTTGCGACAAATGCCCACAGAGCGCATGAATCCATCTAGGCGTAGGGAAAAGCATTCGGCAACCTGATTCTTATTGCATATTCCAGTGGACCTTGTTCAAATACACCTATTAGAGCCTTTTCGGCCTGGTTCTTGCGCAAAGAATAATTTGGCGCCTAAGATTTCGGCCGTTTTTGCCGACAAACGTTTAGAGAGCGCACAAATCCCTATAGAAGTAGGAAAAAAGCATTCAGAAACCTGTTTCTTATTGCATATTCAAGTGGCCCATGTTCAAATACATCTATTAGAGCCTTTTCGGCCTGGTTCTTGTACAAAGAAAAGTTCGGCGCCAAAGATTTCGGAAGTTTTTGCCGACAAACGCTCAGAGAGCGCATGAATGCCTATAGGCCTAGGAAAAAGCATTCAACAGCCTGATTCTTATTGCATATTCCAGTGGCCCTTGTTCAAATACACATATTAGAGCCTTTTCGGCCTGGTTCTTGCACTGAGAAAAGTTCGGCGCCTAAGATTTCGGCCGTTTTTGCCGACAAATGCTCAGAGAGCGCATGAATCCCTGTATGCGTTGGAAAAAGCTTTCAGCAACCTAATTCTTATTGCATATTTCAGTAGCCCTTGTTCAAATACACTTATCATAGCCTTTTTGGCCTGGTTCTTGTACAAAGAAAAGTTCGGCGCCTAAACATTCGGCCGTTTTTTTACGACAAATGGCCACAGAGCGCATGAATCTATATAGGCGTAGGGAAAGGCATTCAGCAACCTGATTCTTATTGCATATTCCAGTGGCCCTTGTTCAAATACTCCTATTAGAGCCTTTTCGGCCTGGTTCTTGCGCAAAGAAAAGTTCGGCGCCTAAGATTTCGGCTCTTTTTGCCGACAAATGCTCAGAGAGCGCATGAATCCATATCGGCCAAGGAAAAAGCATTCATCAACCTGATTCTTATTGCATATTCGAGTAGCCCATGTTCAAATACACCTATCAGAGCCTTTTTGGCCTGGTTCTTGTGCAAAGAAAAGTTCGGCAATTTTGCCCATTTTTGCCGACAAACGCTCAGAGAGCGCATGAAACCCTAGGCGTAGGGAAAAGCATTCAACAACCTGGTTGTTATTGCATATTCGATTGTCCCATGTTCAAATACACCTATTAGAGCCTTTTCGGCCTGGTTCTTGCACCAAGAAAAGTTTGGCGCCTATGATTTCAGTCGTATGCCGACAAATGCTCAGAGAGCGCATGAGTCCCAAAAGGCGTAGGGAAAAGCATTCAACAACCTGATTGTTATTTCATTTTTGAGTGGCCCATGTTCAAATACACCTATTAGAGCTTTTTCGGCCTGGTTCTTGCGCAAAGAAAAGTTCGGCGCCTATGATTTCGGTCGTTTTTGCCGACAAACGCTCAGAGAATGCATGAATTCCTATAGGCGTAGGGAAAAGCATTCAACAACCTGATTGTTATTGCATATTCGATTGTCCCATGTTCAAATACACCTAGTAGAGCCTTTTTCAGCCTGGTTCTTGGGCCAAGAAAAATTATGTGCCTATGATTTCGGCCGTTTTTGCCGACAAACACTCAAAGAGCACATTAAACCCTATAGGCGTAAGGAAATGTCAGAGGTCCACTGGTGATCCCCGATCGATCCTAGGGAAGGGTTACAGGCACGATTGCCTGGGGGGTTATGGGCGCACTGACCCGCTACTGAAAAAAGCCCTTTTATCCCAATGGTCTAGTGGTTGGGATTCTAAGATGGTATCCAGAGCGAAGGTCTCGGGTTCGAATCCCGGTGTATGCACTTCGGGCATCCCAGTGCGGGGGGGTGTCAGAGGTCCACTGGTGATCCCCGATCGATCCTAGGGAAGGGTTACAGGCACGATTGCCTGGGGGGTTATGGGCGCACTGACCCGCTACTGAAAAAAACCCTTTTATCCCAATGGTCTAGTGGTTGGGATTCTGAGAGGAAAAGCATTCAAGAACCTGATTCTTATTGCATATTCGAGTGGCCCATGCTCAAATACACCTATTCGAGCCTTTTTGGCCTGGTTCTTGCGCAAAGAAAGTTCGCCGCCTAAGAATTCGGCCGTTTTTGCCGACAAAAGTTCAGAGAGCGCATGAATCCACTGTCAACGGTGTCAGAACATATAACTTGTGCTTATTGTGTAGGCTATAGTGGGGTAGCCCACAAGGGGTACAACCCAATTAGGGTTAGTACTTGTACTCAGTTCATTCATAGTTCATTCATTCTCGTTCTCATTTTCTCATGGTATCGAGCAGGTTTCCTCGTGGGAACTGTTCCTAGGGCCCACCGATCCTCCCTTTTTTTACTGCCCGGGGCGCGTCCTGCCCTTGCCCGAAGCGCGCCTAGGGTCACGCCCTTCCTAGCGGCCGTCGCGTCGCCCTTAGCGGCCCGTCGCGTCGCCCTTAGCGGCCCATCGCGCCGCCCTTACGTCCGCGTCGCGCAGCCCTAACGGCCGCGTCGCGCCGCCCTTTCACAAGCGGCCCGTCGCCGCCCTTCTCCTGCGGCCCGCCGCCCTCAACTGCGGCCCCGCCGCCCTTCTCTGCGGCCCCGCCGCCCTCTGCTGCGGCCCCGCCTCTCTCACCTGCGGCCCCGCCGCTTTCACCTGCGGCCCCGCCGCCCTCAACTACAGCGGCCCCGCCGCCCTCACCTGCGGCTCCGCCGCCCTCAACTGCGGCCTCGCCGCCCTCAACTGCTGCGGCCCCGCCGCCCTCAGCTGCTGCGGCCCCGCCGCCCTTCTCTGAGGCCCCGCCGCCCTCTGCTGCGGCCCCGCCGCCCTCACCTGCGGCCCCGCCACTTTCACCTACGGCCCCGCCCCTCTCGTTGGCGGCCCCGCCGCCCTCACCTGCGGCCCCGTCACCTGCTGCAGCGCAGCCCACCGCCCGGGCTTCCTGACCCGTCCCACCCAGCCGAGCAGCCGACCGCCGCGCCGCCCTGCAGCAGCACCGTCGAGCCGCCCAGGCAACCGAGCAGCCGGACAGCCGGCCGCCGAGCCGCCCAGCAGCCGAGCAGCCGAGCCGCCCTGCAGCCGAGCCGCCCAGCAGCCGAGCAGCCGAGCCGCCCAGCAGCCAAGCCGCCCAGCAGCCGAGCAGCCGAGCCGCCCTGCAGCCGAGCCGCCCAACAGCCGAGCCGCCCGAGCTGCCCTGTCCGGTGAGCACAGTGCCTCCTTTTTGCTACACTGCCCTCACCCTACTGTTGCACTGCTAGTCTACTGTGGTCATGGCTACCCCTAGTGTCCTCGCTTTTGACGCTGAGGGTCGAGCCATTGACTTTGACGTCAGGGTAGATGACCTGCAGCTGTTCTTAAAGTGCGATAGGGCAGACGGTCTCTCTCTCTTTGACCTCACCTCTGGCGCCTCTCCTGCCCCTGCTGCTGATGCTGACGCCACTGTTCGCTCCCAATGGGCCACGCGCGACGTTGCTGCACGTCTTGCTGTGCGTCGCCACCTCCCTACCTCCGAGCGTGCGCACTTTAGTCAGTACAAGAGTGCTCAGACCTTGTACGACGCTGTAGTTGCGCGCTACTCC